TGCCCTTGTCTTAAGGATCCTGGTTGTCAAACACATGGAAAGGCCCATGCAATGCAGACAGACAAGCATTATCTAGCCTCTGCATGTAGAAGGTGATGCCATAGCATCCCTGCAGAGGAAACCCCACTGCATGAGGTGCAGAGACAGCTCTCTGCAGTGCTGAGTGCATGTGAGAGGGTTGGTGGTTCTACAGCACCACAAGAAACCCCAGTGAGTTCAGAGTTTGTTAGCATTTGTCAAAACCTAGATAAAATGAACAACTACAGTGTTCAGCTGCTGAGCCACCACAGAAAGGACTTTCTTCCATTCAGTGTTCAGTCCAAGCTCATTCACATACATTGCTGAGCCCTGGTGGGTGAAAGCATCTGGGTAGGTGTATCATGGTAAAGCTTAATAACTTGCAGTTCTTTTACATAAAAGAAACTTTGTGGTAACTTTAGTGTGTTTAAATGAGAAGAGGGGAGAGTGCGTGTGTGTGTGTTTACTGTTAAGATTTGGACTGTTTAGGGCTTTATTTGTGCAGAGGTGATAAGTGTTCCCTTGCCAAGCTGATCTCTGGCTTCACTGCTTGATAGGAATGAGAAGCCCTGCTCCCACATCACAAAAAAATCATGATGGGCAGATTCAGACTGCCAAGAAAGAAAGGATAAAGGCAGGATTGCTGCTCCTGGGCAAGGCCAGTATAGATGTTTACAGAAGGCTCAGCAGACTAACCTGAGGAAGAGTTATTAAAAACCTGATCTCCTGGAGAAACAACCAGAGAGCTTGCTGTTCCTCAGAAAAGAAAGGAAGTGGCAACAGAAAAAAACAAAGCGACCCAGATGTCCCATAAGCAGACTAATTATATGAAAGATCCAGCAGCAACTCAGAAGTTACCAATCCAGCTGCCCAGAGTGTCTGCCAGGTTGCCAGATGTTGCCAATGAAAACCTATCTTCCACAGTCCATAAAAGAAGTGGAGCTGCCTTGTGAAGTGAAATCTTTGCCAATATAATAAATATTTTATCTAAAAAAATTTTTCTACTGCAAACATGTTGAAAAAGATAAAATTTTTACAACATGCCCAAACCCATGTTACAGTAGATAAATAATACATATAGAATGTGTTGGCAAGATCTTGTTGATAGGAAATATCTATGCTTAACATTTTATTTCTAAGGCTACAGTTTTGAATTGTGTTGAATAAAGTGGTTTTATGAAGCATGAGGTTGATGGCACTCAGCTGGGGTTTGGATAGTTTGCCTTGACTCAACCAATCATTTTTGCCACCTTGAGATAAAAGGCTTAAAGACAACAAAGCTGGAGGAACTAAAAGTGACAGTAGTATGTACTGGAAGGTGGGGAGACTGCAGAAATGACAGCAAGCCACTCTGTGGCTGCCAAGTCACCTCTTCCAGAGTTCTCTGTCCTCCATGACACAACAAAGAGGGGAAGCAATTCTAGGTGGGTAATTTACATTTTGCTCCAGCCAGATTTTATGACCTGAGCAAACGGTTGTCTGCTAAGAAAGCTTCCTCTAGCAATTGGTAAAGCAGCAGAGCAAGGAGCAGTATACATGTACTTTGGCTTCAACACTGGAGATAGAAGCTGCCTGACAGATTCATGCAATGTCTAGTTTTAATTTTGCTATGAGACCAAATTAATATTTTATTTTAAATCAGGAAATTATGTATTTTAAAAGCCTGTGTAATTTTTCAAATGTGGCTATTAATGTTGCCAATCCAGTGCCTTGGAAATATTAAGTCAGTTCATCCTAGAGGCCAAAAAACCAAACTGCCTGTATAGTCTGTTAGAGAGGCAAAACATCTCTTTTTCCAATGAACATGTATGGGTGCACTGGGATTCACACAAGCATATTTGGCAGCTTTTTCAAGTATTTCTTGGCCTGCAGAGCATACACTGAACATGGGGAGCATTTTCTGTTCAGGAATATGATGTGAATAAGAATGTGCTACTGGAAGATGAGCTATGGAACTTCTATCATAATTTAATTTGTCAAATATAGTTTACAGTATTTTATAATAGTAATCAATAGGACAACATGTCTAAAAACCATGAAGGCTAGAGTTGGAGGATGTTATCCAGCATGTCTTTAATAATACATAATTCCTTAAATGTGCAACTAAATCACTGAAATATATGAGCTTAATTTGGAACCTTTTACACTTTGAAAATTCATATCCCTTTTTTAATAACTGGCTACAGCATTTGCAGACTGGCCCAGATTTTTCTAATTTGTTTCCTTGGCTCTTGAATGCATTGAATGGGATGGATTCCCCAGACCAATGTGTAAAGCCTATAAACCCCAGGAATACGTCTGTCCTTTGTGGCTCTCTCTCCTGCCTGTTTACACCTCGCCTTACCCTGATGACTTAAAGACATTCCTGCAGGAGACCTAAATGTGGCCATGTCACTGAGTTCCTGCAACACAGAGATTTATTGCTGACTGTCAGAGTTAGAAACTATTCACATTTATTTGGGAATGCATTTCCTGAAATGGTTAACAGACTTGACAGAACAAGAGTGGGGAAGAGGGTGAGTAGTAAGAAAGAAACCTCCATATTATAACCCATTATTCCTTAATTGGTAAACAAATAATAGCCTTGATTATAATCTTGATTCACAAAGAATGCTTTTACCTCTCCAAAGATTACTTTATAGCTCCCTGGGAATACTGGATGTCCTGTGACTACTGAATATCGTCAGCAAAGCTCAAATTTTGCTGCTGCATTTATGATATACATGTGCTTAGATACTTAAATTAGGTCTCTTGACATTGTCCTTATTTAAAAGAAGCCACACAACCAGGTGTGATGCCTTTGGGATAGTAAGGTAATCAGGTCTGCTGATGCAGCAACAGAAGCTAGACAATTGCAGGTGACACACCACCTATGACACACTATGAACCCTTGGGATTCATAGTAGGTAGGGTAGGAAATAAGAAGTACATGGTAGCAGCCTGGGAGAAGACAGCTACTTTTCCTTGCATCTGCTGTCTGAGAACATAAAATATTACTTTCAGACGATCTGATTTTGATGTCTTTTTCTGCCCCACTCAAGGGCATGCTGCTTGTCAGCCAGCTCCTCGGCAGAGGTACAAGCAGTACATGCAGACACTCTCCAAACTTTGCCCCTAACATTTACAAAACAGCTTGTTCTTCCCTTGAGTCCTCTGTAGCTCATGTAAGATAAGAAACTACTAGAAGACCAAGAGCCTTAAAGAAGTTTCAGGCAATATTTTCTAAGCAGTATGACTATCTATCTGTTCCTGTTTCATCTGAGTGTGAAAAATCCACAATGATGAATAGCAAAATTCAAGTATGAAGAGAAAGCTATTAGTGGAGACACTGTGCTTGAGCCTGCCAAGGGATCTCATCAAGCAAGCCCAAAGTGCCAGCAAAACAGTATTGGCATACCGAGGATACTAAATGAAATGATACTTCAAAATGTTCAAATGTACATATGTGTACACCCAGAGTAGGTGAGGAGAGACGTGGGGAAGGGAGGTGAAAGGAAGGCAAGTCAAAGGCAGACAAAGATGCCAGAGAGGGGCAAAGAGCATGCTACATTCTGCACTGTAGGCAATCAATGGAATAATGTACACATGAATTAACTCATTAATGACTCCTGGAGTGAATCTTGGAGATTATGAAACACCAACTGACAAGGCTCTATAAAAAAACCCAAACCAACCTGTTTAGTATATGAAAAAAACCCACTACAAACAAACCCAAGTTTGTTTCAACATTTACTTAGAATTCAGTACACAATTCATAAATCAAGGAACAAAAGCCAGGGTATATTTTTAATCAAAGCTTTGCTGCTCACAATATAGGGTGTAAGAAATTGGATTGATAGATGATTTATTATTGTTATGAAACTAAAGGCTTTATATTCTTAAGTGGAGTAAAGCAGAGAGCAATATGTTCATATTAGAAAGTTCCTACTGTGAATGAAAAATGGATTAAAATTGAGACATTGTTTAGCAAGACAGATGAGTCTATATTTATTTTTGGCTGTGAAACTATTACAACCATATATAACCAATAAGTATGAAGAACTGGCACTGGGGGAAATCACCTTGCCAGTTTGCCCTGTGTGTCTGTGTTTGGCAAACACAGCCTGCAGGGAGTGTAGTCCATTTGCACGTAATCAGATCTCTGACCTGTAATGTGTACATTCTAGAACATTAATTGGCACGATTAAAAAGTTATTTAGAGGATGAGCTTGGAGCAAAACATGTCGCTTCTCAGAATCCTGAAATGCAACCTGGACTTCCTAATAAGCCAGTTTAACTGTTTGCAGAGAGACGTTATAAGTGTTCACCGGGGGGAAAAGTAACAACCAAGCTCCCCATGCAACACACAAATCTGAAGAGTCCAGCATGTGTCAGTGCAAAGCAAATTTATTCTATAAAGTGACTAGTGTGAGAAAGAATTAGAAAGGATTATAAAAATACACTACCATGTGCTGTAGTAGTTGAAAGTGATTAATCCAGTTCCTAAATCCTATTTTAAACTCCCTTTCATTTCTGTCTATAGAAAAATAGAAGCCACATTGCTTTGTTTGAATGCTATGTAGTTAATTACATCTTCTAAGAAACTCTTTTAAAACTAAATGTAATGTTTAATTACAAAATGCCTGCCTTGAAAAGTTAGCTTGTACATTGATTTGTAGTTCATTAAAAATGCTTTCTTAATTATATTTCCAGCCAGAAAATACATAGAGATTAAAGAGTCTATAGAGAAATTTTGAAATCACAGCATGACTTGTAAGGAGAAAGTTACACTTCAAATAGTGGACAACAGACAGCTACGACTGCCTTTCTGTAATTTCAGAACTTAATTGTTGTAAAAATAGTAATTGGAAAGCAGCGCTCATTGTAATGGCTATCAACGGTACATTTTTTTTTATACCAGTAGATTTTCAAGGACTAATTAGAAAGCAAATCAATTGCATCAAACAAGTGTAAAGTTCACGTTAGCTGTGGGACCGATCACCTCAACACACGGGGTTCACGGCTAAGGGCAGCCCGCGCTTTGGTTCGTAGGGTGTTGTCCTGGAAACCATGCGGATGCAGTCGATAACAGGGCAGACACTGAGACACAGGGTGCAGCCTGTACAGCTGTCAGTAACCGTGGGCAGGTGGGTTTCAGGATCAAACTGGATAGCCTGCGAACAGGAATAAACATTATTGATGTCACTCACGGAAAAGGTCAAAATTGCTCCCATTTCAGTGTCTGCATTTCCTGCGCTACAGCACTTGGAGACATCTTGGTGCGATTCTGCACTGCAGCTATAGCAACTGTTCAACTGACAGGGAACAAAACAAGCCCCCTCCGGACATTGTAAAATTAGAGATATGGGCCAAATTACACCTTGGTGAAAGCTCATGGATCACATGGGCTAGTTACAAAAGGAGGAGTTTGGCCCATCATATTTAAACTCCCACAGGGATATTTCTCCTTCACATGAAGAAAATATTTCATAAGATAGCAATGTGCCAGCGTTATTGGTTCAGAGGAGACACCAGACCATGCCTGTATGGCTTCAGCACAATGCTGGCCACAATGCATTCTTTCGACTTATATTTTTGGCACAGCATAAACAATCTCATTTAATAAACAGTCAAGAAAAACACAGCACACCGTGCCTCATGTGATTATGTTCCTTTGCCAATCTTGGAAAGGGATATCAGAGTTTGGGGAAGGCAGAGCTTGCTTTAGTTCTCACGATTCATGCAGTGAATCCTCATTACCAATTAGGGTGATAAGTGTATTTGAATGTGAAATAACAATTGCAGTCTCAATGAAATAAGCTCCTGGCATAATGGAAATGGCAATTAAAAGCAAAAACAAAGGCATCACACATCTGCAAAAGCTTCAATACCTAAGAAGCAAGACAAGAAGAGTAAAAATATTTTTAAAAAGCCCCAAACGCTGAATATCCACCTTTAAATGTTTAGGAGGAAGAATCAGGCCTGAAAGCTGAACTCTGGCTTCTCTGCAAACAAGCAGTGCCTTAGCAAATCTCTCTGACCGCTGTCAGCAACTGGGGGAGGCAGGGAGGTGGTGGGATGTATTGGGTGCTGCTGCAGGTTGGCTCTAAAGGCAGATTTGTGACATCTGGGGTTTCACTACTAGGAAGGCACAGAAGTTGCTGTAGCAACTAGCAAGGGCATGAAGTAACTGCCCTGGATCTATGACTTCTAGTTTAGCGTGAGCACAAAGAGAGTTCTGGCTTGTGAGTATTTAAGGAGGACTCCTTTCTCTCTCCCTAACAACAATGCACATCTTGAAAGGGAGTTCAAAGAGGGAGAGGAAGTCAGGACTATAGTGCTGACTTTAAATTAAGGAAAGCTTTTCTGTTGGAGTCATACAAGGTGACATGTCTGTAGAGCAGCATGGAAAGTTCTGAAACAAAGAGAAGCATGAAGCAGATGCTATTTTGAAGGGGGAGGTGTTGTTGATTAATTTGCAATTAACTTATTTTCAATTTCCTTAATTAAAAAAAGGAAAAAACCAATTTTTTTGTGCTCAGAAAATTCTCCTAGGGTTTTAAACATTGGGGTTTTTTGGTGCTGATTTGTTTCCAGTTAGCTACACAAAATAAAGTTTTACTGAATATAAACCCAGTCTTTTGCTCTCCAAGAGCTATATCCTCCCCTCCTGATGAAAGGGGAAGAGGTGAAGACTACAGTGTCAAGAAGAAATTGAGACAGTTAAAAAGCTACTGTAGTAATCTATTTTGGTATAAATGCAGCATTAATTTTCTTATATCAGTGGAAAAAAACGTTTACCTTTGCTCTGACACACTTGTTATAATTGCAGGAGTTGATTTTAAATGGAAGGCTTCTTTCTGTGACTGTATGCAGTTAAATTCATCAGACCTACTACTGACTAGACTCAATTAAAGATGAACAAAAACTCATGGCATCCAGAGGAAACTTGTTAAAGTATTTGTTTCTGACAAACTATTCTCAGACTAAGATGTATGGCAAAATTAATGTAGAAATTATGCTTACTGCATATTGGATTTCATGAAAGTTATTCTAGACTGTATTTTGGTTTTCTAAGAGAATGTGAGTCCTTCTGTATGGCCTTTTTTTTCTGCAGGCCAGTCCATCAGCTCCAGTGGACATAGCATGGAATGGCATGTAGAAATGCTGATATATTTAATACAACTTATGTTACCATACTGAGCAGAAATCAGAGAAGCACTTTGCTGCAAACAGGAGCCTCAGCTCAATATCATGCTACTTTCTGGTTACAGTGATTTCTGCAGACTTCAACCTGCTGCTCTAAACCCTGGCAGTTATCCTGAAGAAAGGATTTGTAACTCAATCAAGATCAAAACAAAACTCCCACCTGCCTGAAACCTGAATTAGTTCAAGTTCAGTTACTCTGAGGGAATAAGGACTAGGTTTCTTAAAAAGCATTTGGTAATAAAATCGGCTCTTGTCTCCCTGCATCCCCTTGGTGGGAAGGGATACATTCTTCCCTTTCTCCCTCATGTATTTTAAAACCATCAGGAACTATATTTACTGCCTTTCACCTTGGGGCTCCTTTATTTTCTTCCTCTTAAAAAGAATCCCACTCCCCACCAACAGTTACAGAGGGCCAGTGAGAGTGACACACTGCGTAGCCCTCCAAGAGCATCCGTGCTGGGCAGTGTCCTCGCCGCTGCTCACACAGCTCAGGCAGGGCTTGTGTGCCATAGCCTGGGAGCATGCTGGGGTTTGAATCCAATATTTTAGGCATCTGTTTTTACCACCTGCTCATTAACAGAAGGTGAATTCTTTCTTCCCAGCAGCAGAAAGATAACTCATCATGCCTTTCTGCTAATTACAGCTGTGCTCTTACCTGGTAGCCAGAATCATTACAGGTCATGTAGCATTTGCCACAGTTGATACACATTTCCTCGTCAATCAGAGCCACAACTTGCTCTGTGTTGCACAGATCACCATATGTTCCAATATACTGCAATGCTTTTCCAATTACATCCTAGGGAAAAAAAAAGTTATTGACTCATTTATAAGATACCTAAGCAGTTTCTATAGCTGCACAGGAGCACCCTCTAGTACTTTAATATGGAAGATTTGGCCATGCATTTTGATGATGGTTAGGATTTTTCTTATAAATTTCCAAGTTGCTGACCTTCATACGTCCTGTAGAATACAAAGAATGCTCCATACAGGCACATTTTCAATGTCCTAGAATTATACACTGGTATACAGACACATTCTACAAACAGGTTACACATTTAGTATTCGATTTCACATACGCTACTGTTTTGCCATTATTGGGTGAAAATTCAAGGGATAAAATGGAATGCAAAACAGGAGTGACATGCTACAATCAGGTCATCTTTGGTCATTTCTCATTAACACAGATTTAAGAACTCACAGCAAGAAAAGAAAGGGGCATGATCAGAAAAACCTGACAGAGAACAATAACCACTCTTCTCTCTTTAGCAAGATGCACAAATGACACGATTGTCAATTTATTGCAAATACCATACAGAAGTAAACTCTGGGTCTAATCCCACAAATTCTGTTAATTTCACAGGGATGAATGTGCACCATCAGCCTTACACAAAAGGTGTATGGCAGCACAGCATATGGGTACATACCACAGGGGAAGATATGCCCTCTAAAAGAAGTTGTTTAGGATCTAACTGATGCAAACCCAATCCATTTTTGTTTTACATCAAGGGAAGCTGCACATTTCAGATGCAGTTCAGCTTCACTGCATCAGTGGTAGAGATGGGAGAAGGCCCAGGTCCTTTGGTCTACAGCCATCCTTCAGTTAAATCACTTTAACTTGTGGAAGTTCTGCACAGATGATGGACGTGACTGCATTTTAAAAGATGCACTCTGTGCACTGTATTGGTTACCTGGAGTTTTTGAGAGTTTACTACACACACTTCTACAACAGTTCCCATGTTGCAAAACAAGTTCAATTTTATGTACAAGATACATATTGTTAAGATGAAGTAAATGAAGGTTACATGATGAACAATATCTTTTACTTTTGCTTTAAAAAGGGGCATAGCTATTGAGTAATTATTAGAGAAATCTCATTGAGGCATAGGAGACCAGAACTGGCTTCAAAGTCATTCTACTGCAATAGACCAAGCAATCATTATGATTCTGATTATGAAATTTGACCCAAATCAATTGAAAAGTGCACAAGATCAAGTCAAATATGAGACATGGACAAGTTTGTCCAGAATTCTAAGCAACAAAGTGTTTACCCTTGGTTTTGCATTGCCAAGAAACATGATAAGGATTTCTTTTTGAATTCTGTTTCTCAATACTTTTTGAACAAGCAATACTAACCTCACTCCTCCTAGTTAAAACGTTGTTCTGAAATTATCAGCAACCTTTTTAACTGTGTAGTAGTATGCTGTATTTAATCTGCATAATTTATAATCTCATACAATGGTCTACATATTGTTTTCCATTCTCATTGCAGAAGAACTGGATTACAGCAATTAAAATTTTCATTGCATATCATATTTTGGGCAGCTTTACTTTAAATCAAACTAAGCATCCCTAATTATTCCTATGCCACATCAGACCAATGGGTCAATGTGGCTTTATCAATGTTAGCTCTAAAGGAAAGCTCTGCTACATGAATTAAATTCAAAAATCAGTCCAGCCTTATCTTTCTGTGTCTTCTAAGAACTTACCACAACAGTTCTACTTTATGAAAGAATGAAGTCTACCTGGTCTTAAGCACTTAATTACAATAGTATCTTTGTGCAAGGAGACAAATTTCTTTGTTCGCTGGATGCAGTAGTAGGATCTATGAAGTTGCTCCTAATGACTGTTGAGGTAGGAAATTCACCCAAATCCTATGCCCAGGAAGAAAGACTGGCAAACTGTACTGTTTTCTCGTTCCAAAAACACTCAAATATTTTCTCTCTGCCAAACCCCTAAGCTGCTGACATGTGAAATACCTTGGTTGCATTCATTCAATGCTAAAAGCCTTCCAGTTCTTCTCAGCAACATGCAGAGAACATTAATGCTCTTCCAGCATAAAACAGCTATGGCACATTGCTAAAGGCAGCATGATGAGCGTGGACAGATGACTGTGAGCAAGTTATCACAGTTTAATGAGTTAGCACTCATCAATAGAACTGTGTGAGCTGACTATGTGCATGGTCCAAATTCACTGCAAATCTGAAGTAAAATCTGTTTGCTTAAACTACTGTAAAAGGTCAATTAACTACTATGAAAGTGTTTCAGCTAATACTTTTTGCTAGAACAAGACTTAAACATGCAGCCCTTCGCTGTGACTCCACTGATGAGCTACAGTAACAAAATCAAATGTAATCTCCTAGGAGCTGCTCACACCTGTCTTTTCATTTCCAGTTCTTACTCAGAAACATTCGTGGATTTACTGGGAATTGCTCAGCGGTTTTCAGGTTGCTACAGTTCTCAGGTGTCTGCAGTCTTCTGTGTCAGTTGAAAAATTGTAGTGCTAGAATTCAACTCTAGCTTGTTTCAAGTCTCATGTAAGCTTGTCTGTTGACAAGCCTTGTCTTTTGAACCTGCTACAGGTTTCAAAATACATGTGTCTTCGTGTGATCTACTGCCCCCAGCAATACTAAGTATCCTGGCAGCCTCTCTTGTGTGTATATAGCCCCCAAACATCCCACTGTATGTCACAAATGCATGTCACCTGCAAGTAACAGTCTGTGTACTGAAGAATCTGAAGAAATTATGTTAAACCTGTACAACATACAATGAAGTAGCTTTCCACTGCCTGCCCATGTTGCAAAAGTATCAGCATGGGGAGATTCTTGATAGTGAAGGGGTTTTAAGTCTAAAAGAAGCAGACATTTAAATAGCATAGGTAATTTTCTCAGAGAGGTTCTGGATTCACATTTGTATTCTTTAAGTATTGTTTGGATAATAAAACCCACAAAACTCAAGCAGGTTGCAGAGATGGGCTGCTCAGCTAATCATGGAATGGAGGGCCTTGCTTGTGAGAGAAGATAAAAAGGTGTTTAGCCTAGGAAGATGAAGGCAGAGCAGGAATATGATGTCTACATATACATCAAGGAGGGAAAACAGCTATTTAAGTTAAATGACAATGTTGGCACAAGATCACATTATTATAAGCCAGCCATGAATAAATTCAAACCTGGAAATTAGAAAAGGTTTTTTAAATGGGAAAAGAGCGAGATGGTTAATTACCTTCCAGGGAAGGAGTTGGAGGACAGAAGGAGACAATCCAAGGTTTAGGGTAGCATTAGATAGCTCAGGAAATGGTTGCTTGGAAGAAGAAGATCAAAATTGATTTTTCCAGCTATAAACTTACAAAGGGAATAACAAAACCAATGCATATGGCATGGTGATTTCTGAATTTGTAACCAAGTCTCACTTCTCACAGCTCACAAAAATACACTTTTGGGGACACAGAATCCCAAATAGGGAGGATGATGGCATTTTAGAGGCCTGAAAGTGATTTCAAAAGACTGCGTTAATGATTTACTACTCATTTACACTCCTGGGTGTAGTGTGTTTTAATCACTTCTTTCTCTCAAGCAAAAATTGTATCTTTATTCATTTGCAAAGTTTCAAGACATTATTGACTAAAAAAGCAATGGTACTTAAACGATGTTCTGCAGGTGCACTCTTTTACAGAATCTCAGAGCTTCTTGTTTTCATCAAAACATAAATGTTTGGAACCAAATAAACAGTGCAGCAAGAAATAATCAGCTTTCACTGTTTAAAGTGGTTTCACTCCAAAAAGCAACTGTCTAAAATGGCACTATGGGATTCCACACTTGGTGTATCTCAATGGCCTCCGGATCAAATTTGCACTGTTTACAGATTAATTTTTTTTTTGCCAACTGCCAGACCTGCAAACAGAAGCCAGGTTCTGAAAGTCAAGCTGTGTTCTTTCTGGCTTATGCATTACCAGCAGCAATTAAAGAAAAAAAAAAAAAGCAGGAAAAAAAAAGCTGGAAGTTAAATTTGTCCTAAGCTGCACCTTTGCGACAACAGGGACCTAGTGCTCCTTTTGATTACTGCTGTGCTGTCCTGCTCTCCTCAGAAAAACTGTACTGAACAAACCAGGAGAGGAATGTAGTCCTGCAACTGGAACTGGCAGGGAATTCAGTTGCTATGGAGAGAATCAGAGCAGAATCCATTAGTTTTATGTTACTAATGAGTACAGAAAAAAAATTCATTTTGTCACTAAGCTAGGCAGATGTGGTTTTGAGTATACACAACGATCAGAACTGTTCAGTAGGATATTATTTTTGCAATGCTATAATAGCTGCATTTTAATGTTAATGCATCAAACATTTTATAGTGATTAGCTTTTCATTAGTCGTCATATTAGTAAACCTGTATTTGTAAACACGGTTCACCTCTATCTCCTTATAGACCTGTTGTGTTCATCTTCATGCAGACCACTTTGCAAAAGACCACACTGTACTCCAGAGATGGTGGACATCACAGGCCTCTCCTTTGACCATTAGAAAGCCATACACAGTGTAGGTACTGCATTTCACATGTCAGGTTCAAAGGGAACACACGTACTTGTCTGCTTATTGCATATTTTGAGTCACCATAAAACACTCTGCATGTCACATGGCTCAGGAGAAAGGGTCCCTGAGTAGGAGCTTTGTGCACATGAAGCTGACAGCAACAGCATGTAAGGAAAGCAGGGTGACCTTTAGCTTACCAGAAACATAGGTCTGCCTCGTGTGAGCAGCAGTCTGTGCTAAGGACAGGCCTCAACCTCAGCCTTCAGGCTTCTGAAGGACCATTGACCATATTACAAGTTAAGTTGACTCACCCCCAAGCAATAGGAAAAGCTTCAAAGAAAGCATCTGACATTGATATAGCAAAGTTGTGCACTTGATCCCAAGTACTCTATCTGTTCCTTATTATTTATGGGGTGTTTGGGCAGTTCTCAGTATTCAATAAGTTATGACAGAACAAGGGGCTGTGCAGAAGTGCCCTCACTAGGGTACAAAGAGA